CACTGTGTAAGTATTACACAAGTGCCTTGGTATCACTGTGTAAGTATTACATAAGTGCCTTGGTATCACCGTGCCAGTATTACACAAGTGCCTTGGTGTCACCGTGCCAGTATTACACAAGTGCCTTGATGTCACAGTGTCAGTATTACACAAGTGGCAGAGTCAGTATTACACAAGTGGCAGAGTGTCAGTATTACACAAGTGCCTTGGTGTCACTGTGTCAGTATTACACAAGTGGCAGAGTGTCAGTATTATACAAGTGCCTTGGTTTCACAGTGTCAGTATTACACAAGTGGCAGAGTGTCAGTATTATACAAGTGCCTTGGTTTCACAGTGTCAGTATTACACAAGTGCCTTGGTATCACTGTGTCAGTATTACACAAGTGCCTTGGTGTCACTGTGTCAGTATTACACAAGTGGCAGAGTGTCAGTATTATACAAGTGCCTTGGTTTCACAGTGTCAGTATTACACAAGTGCCTTGGTGTCACTGTGTCAGTATTACACAAGTGCCTTGGTATCACTGTGTAAGTATTACACAAGTGCCTTGGTTTCACAGTGTCAGTATTACACAAGTGCCTTGGTATCACCATGCCAGTATTACACAAGTGCCTTGGTGTCACCGTGCCAGTATTACACAAGTGCCTTGATGTCACTGTGTCAGTATTGCACATGTGCCTTGGTATCACTGTGTAAGTATTACACAAGTGCCTTGGTGTCACTGTGTAAGTATTACACAAGTGCCTTGGTGTCACTGTGTAAGTATTACACAAGTGCTTTGGTGTCACTGTGTCAGTATTACACAGGTGCCTTGGTGTCACTGTGTCAGTATTACACAAGTGCCTTGGTGTCACTGTGCCAGTATTACACAAGTGTCTTTGTGTCACGGTAAGTATTACACAAGTGCCTTGGTGTCACTGTGTCAGTATTACACAAGTGCCTTGGTGTCACCATGCCAGTATTACACAAGTGCCTTGGTGTCACAGTGCCAGTATTACACAAGTGCCTTGGTGTCACTGTGCCAGTATTACACAAGTGTCTTTGTGTCACTGTAAGTATTACACAAGTGCCTTGGTGTCACTGTGTCAGTATTACACAAGTGCCTTGATGTCAGTGTCAGTATTACACAAGTGCCTTGGTGTCACTGTGTAAGTATTACACAAGTGCCTTGGTATCACAGTGCCAGTATTACACAAGTGCCTTGGTGTCACTGTGCCAGTATTACACAAGTGTCTTTGTGTCACTGTAAGTATTACACAAGTGCCTTGGTGTCACTGTGTCAGTATTACACAAGTGCCTTGATGTCAGTGTCAGTATTACACAAGTGCCTTGGTGTCACTGTGTCAGTATTACACAAGTGCCTTGGTGTCACTGTGTCAGTATTACACAAGTGCCTTGGTGTCACAGTGCCAGTATTACACAAGTGCCTTGGTGTCACTGTGT